GGGGTGGCAATGAATGTACCCATTAGTAGGTTCTTGGAAAAGAGTAGCAAACAGTCCAAGCCAAAAAGCAGACAACCCCTCCCTCACACACACACAACCACAAAACTACAGCCAGGATCTAGTAAGTGTAGGGAATAGTCAGGGCTTCCTGGGCAGGGCTGAACCTGGAGACCGAACCCCATACCTGATGCTGTTCCTGCTTCTTCCACTGCTGTACCTTGTCCGGTCTGAGCGGTATCGACTCAGGCTTAGGTCTTGGCCCCGCTGCACCTGTGGAGGGCACTCCAGGTTTTTGCATTTGCGGCTCTGCAGCCTCAGCCCCCAGCTGGGCTGTTCCTTCGTTCTATCGTCCTCCCTGGCTCTCCATCCTAAATACCTGCAGCTGTGCAGGGATTGTTCCTGGGCTACCTTTCCCCACTGGCATCTAGTAGATTACCCAGGATTTTAATTTTGTCGGAAACGCACCTCGAGTGAGAACTTCAGTGGCTTTCTGCTCCACCCGCCCCTGGGGAGCCTAAAGGTTCTTTTCTTTCCAGCCCCTGGTCATTCACCCCTCCCCCAAGGCTGTGCTTTGGCCGAATTTCAGGCGTGTCCCCTTGTCTTCAGCTGATTCCCCCACGTTGGAAGTGAGACGGGGAGGAAGGATGACTCACTGGGTGATTGGGTGCTTGCTTGGTCCCTTGGAGAAGCTGTTTGAAACCTGCCTTGGGACAGTCTGTCCAGGGAGTGAGGGAGAGCAGATGTGTCCACTGCTTGCTGTGTCCCGGCGGCCGGAATCACTGCGCCGGGCAGACTGCCGCAAGTGCGGGTGGCGCGCGTGTGTGGGTGCCGAGTGGGTCCCCTGGCAGCGGCCGCAGGAAGTCACCCCTGACAAGAGATAAGCAAGAGCGAGAGCATGTAACCTGTTGCATAAAGGCGAGGGAGGGGCCGTCTGTTGCAGCAGCGTTTTTCAATCGCTGTGCAGGAAGAATTTTTAAAACATGCAATAACCTGACTATTTTAGTCCGGGACACTGACCCTGACTGAAATTTAAAAAAATGTATGACAACAGCCAACCCAACAATAGCTGTTCAGTATGAATGAATCAAAATTATACCTTTTTTGGGGGGTCAGATTGACAAAAAAAGATATTATTTTGGTGTGCTGCATAAGTTTAGTAATTAGTTTACATGTACAATGAGATTTTTTAAAAAAGGTTGAAAATTGCCGTGTTCAACAATATCATGGTGAGTGAATGAAGTCCCAAAAGACTACATACAGTGTGGCGTTATTTTCATTTAGCTATAAACAACTATCATACACACAAAGTTGCACACTACACTTTGAAGGCGATACCTGTAGCTACAATACAACTATGTAATAAGAGGCAAAGGTGTGCTGAATGGGAGGAGACTCAGGAAGTTATTTTTGGAGAGGAGAGATGGGGGAGCGCATGGTTACAGTTACCTGTTGGTGATGTCATGGGTCTAGCTTCGTACTGACTGCCTTATTAAAAATAGAAATGGAGGAAGGAGCCCCTGCGTGGACTAACGATTCGAGTGTGAGAGTGTCATGAACCGAGAAGCATGATTCATCTGGGCACTTGAGGTCCAAATACAGCGTACAAGTTGGTGCATCAATTCTGCATCCTGGATAGGGCAAACTCCAAGTTTCGGAAGCCTGCCTCCCTCCGGGGACCAAAGACGGCGCTTCTCCCCTCTGGCCAGAAGAGGGCGCACGCCACTAGTGAAGGGCGCGCGGCGTGAGTCTCCGGCCAACCCTTGCGCCTTAAGGTTTTGTTTTCGTTAAAGGGAAGCTGCACCCAGATTGGGAGCATCGGCAGCGCCCAGGCAGGCATGGCCGCTAGCAGGGGATCCCGGGGACTCCCCAGGGAGGGCCCCCGTCCCTCCCGCTGCCCCAGGGATTCGGGAGGAAGCAGCTGCCAGCCCAGCGAAGCCTCTACGTGCTCCTGGCCTTGGCCCTGACTTCCTGCTGCCCAACCCCCACCTCCCCCGAGGCTGGGTGGAGTCGCAAACTGAGGGCCCACCGGTTACATCTATTCCCCTTACAGGTTTGGCTTGACCTGGAGCGTACCTTGAAAAGGTTTATTTGGCAACCTTTAAAAATCAGTCCATGTGGAGCCTAAAAATCCAGATTTCCCCTTCTCACGGTCACTTGGGGGCAGCTGGCTACACCGGGCTGCGGGCCGCACCGCCTGCACCGCCGCCTGGGCGGGAGGTTTTTGACCCTGTTGCACAGCCGATCTCCGGCCTGCCCATCGTTCTGGTTCATGTCATTATCCAGAACCAGGCCAAAGGGCACCCTTCACGCCACCATATCTCTTTTTTTTCTCAACTACATGGAGTTAAGCTTGGTGTTTTAAAAATTTCTCATCATTTTCTACATTCGCAGAACATTACGACAAAACCCAGATGATTCGCAAGTCGCTTCAATCTCCTTACAAGGTGCGGCGGGGGCACCCAGTGTTCTCACCGCGGTCTTCACGAGGAAGGCCTCTGGGCACCTGCTCCGGCCAGGGCGGGTCGCCCTTTTTCCATCCACCTGGTGCGGGTGTGCAACGCAGCAGGGGGCCTGACAGCTCCTTTCGTCTAAGTCAGGGGGTTCCTAGTTTGTTGCTATTGTTGTTTGTTGTTGTTTTTAAGTGGGGGAAAAAAGTCAATCTAAACCATATGTGAAACTCCATGATATGAAACAGGAAACATGATATTAACATGGAATCATCGATCGCCAACCTTTACTTATTATAAAGTCTGTTCCTAGGGATAGTGGGATTTGTTTGAAAAGTCCAGTTTGCAGTAAGGAGGTAACTGGGCCGTAGGGTCTTCCTCGGATTCATCTGCTGCTTAGTCTCAGTCGCGCGGGACGGAGAGGTCCCGGCCGGCCCAGGATGGGTGGCAGGTGTCTCAGCAGCTGGCCTCGCAGGCTTGTCTCCATCAACAAGTGAGGGCCGCCCCCCATGAGGGAGCCTGTGCGGGTCCCCTGTGTCGGGGTTAGCCATGGATGACAGCAGAGTGTGTAATATAGGTGGTTTTAGGTGCTAATGGATGTTTCGCCTGTAAAATTAGGTATCTGTGAGACCCCCCCCCCACCAAACCCCTGCATTCACAGGATGCAGTTCAGACACTGCCACACAGGGGGAAGTGGTGGTTGCTGGGGGCCCGAAAGACCCGCTGCGTTTCCGTGGCAACACGTGTTTGCTTTTTCGTGTTGGGGAAGAGGCTGGGAGGTGCACCCAGGGGATGGGCCAGCTCTGGGTCGCTTTAGCCTCCTGGCTGGAGGCCCAGGTTGAGGGCTGAGCAGGTAAACACATTGGGAAAGAAGGTCCCCACACTCCGCTGCAGCAGGAGGGGTGCAGCAGGCCAGGGCCCTGAGGAACGTGCTCATTTTTTCCTTCTGGGCCTGTCTGCAGACACCACAGCCCACAGAGGCAGCCAGGCACTTCCGGCCCTGCCCTAATGTCCCAGGGGCCAGGGGTGGGGGCGGTGTCCCAGGCTGGGGCCAAGGAGACACCAGAGCTGGACTCCAAGCCCAGCTCTGTCATTTACCTCATGTCCACTGGGCTTTCTCCTCGAGTCTCCAGCCCCAGTGCCGTCAGGGCAGGGTCCGTCCTTCCCCACGCAAAGGAGGGGCACACACCCGGCTGCAGAGAGAGAGCCACAGCTAAGGTGTGTTTGAGAGCCTGTCTGAGAGCAGTCTTCCTTGTGGGTGGTGAGAAAACACCCGTGGCAGAGGTTTGCCCGGAGGAGTGGAGAGAGCACCAGCCTCCACCTTCCCTCCCTTTCTCTCCAACAGTTAGGCCAGGCCCAGGGTGGGGGTGGGGCAGGGGAGGCTGCCAGTCGGGGACCTGGCCCCTTGCGGTAGAGGATGCGGGCAGACCACCTCCTGGGGCCTCAGGGTGCCACACTGAGCCAGGGCTGCCTCTTGGTCCTTGGGGCAGACCCCGACCCCCTGTCCTCCTCCATAGGTCCAAACTTCTTCCTCTCACGCCTGGGCTGGGAGCTGGGGTGGAGTAGAGTTTGGGTTACACACGGGCACTGCCCCTGGGCTGGGCAGTCCCGGAGGGAGCCTGGTTTAGAGAAGACCAACACATCACACAGCTTGGCTTTCTGGGGCCTGCAAGGCTTAGCTGTTGGACTATGGCACTGGCTTCTGTGTAACTGGGTCTCTGTCTTCCCCCAGTCAGTGACTTCAGTGCCTGGACAGAGGTCCTGTATCGCTTTTGTAAAAAAAAAAAAAAAAAAAAAAAATCGGAGCAAAATTATACGTAACAGAAAACTTGCCATGCTAACAATTTTTAGGCGCACAGAACGGTGGCATTAACATCGTTTACATTGATGTGTGACCACACCACCGTCAACCTCCAGAAGGGTTCACCTTCCTGATGGGAAGTGTCCCTGTGAAACCCTCCCTCTGTCCCTCTGACACCTCTGGGCCCCTCATGTATGGGGAATCATACAGCATTTGTTGCTCTGTGTCTGCATTAATTCATTTAACAGTTTCTTCAAAGTTCATGCATGTGGCAGCATATGTCGGAATTTCCTTTTTCTTAAAAAAAAAAAAAGGATCTTATTTATTTTTGGAGAGGGACAGGGAGGGAGAAAGAGAGGGAAACATCTGTCCATTGCCTCATGTACACACCCCAACCTGGGGCCAAACCCACAACCCAGGCGTGTGCCTGGACCAGGAATCAGACCAGCAGCCCTTCGAGTTGTAGGAGATGTCCAACCAATCAACCAGTCAAGTGGCACAAATCAGGGCTTGAATTTCCTTTTTTACAGGCTGCCTGAGTTACTTTGAGTCCTGCTGTGTGTCTTGCATGAATATTACTGGCTTCCACCCTTGAAATTAGTTTACTCTGAAAATATGCAAATCCTGAGAAGCCACTTCTGCATCCTGTACTGGACTCACCTCCAGGGGGTGGTCCCCGGCTAGCCTCTGGGCCCCTCCACTTTACTCCTGCTTTTACAGCCTTCCTCTGGCTTAATAAGAAATCCTTCTGCCATTGGTCAATATTTTATTTAAAAACACACACACACATACACACATACAATGGTCACGAAGGCAGAGTCGGGAAAGGAGGCTGAGATCACATCTTTGGGGACAGGTGGACCACAGAGCTTCTATAGGCACACCTCGCTGTAAGAACGAGGGTGTTGGGGGTCCTCAAGACCAGTTCCCAAGCTGGATAAATCAGGAAAGGGCTTTGTTCCTCCAGAGACTTAAGGCGGCTTCACTCCCCTGAGGGACAGGAGTTACGCAGGATTCAGAAAACCCCCACTGTGTGCACTGGCCCCTGAGGCAGTTTTAAAAGCAGGAGGGAGAGACCAGTTTTCCCTGAAGGCTGCTTTTCCTTCCCAGGCGGGGAGGAATATTCTTCAGACTGCGGGGAGAGGCTGGGAGCAGCTCAGGGGCCCAGGAGGAAGGTGAAGGCCCCCTCCTGTGCCCACCAGCCCGGGCAGCACTTTGGCACAGGACACAGGTTCAGAAGTCTTTCCTACGGCCGCTGGCCCTCAGATCCTCCTGTCTGCTGGGCCACACGTCCCGCGGGGCCTCCTGTGGACCCGGAGCCTGTGGGGTCCTCAGACGGCTGCATCTTGGGAAGGAAATGGCAAAGTGAGGACTGACGGCCAGGGCAGGGCCCGCCCAGGAGTAGCACTCCAGCAGGCCGACCCACGCTCGGCCTGGTGCACTGCCTTCCTCCACCCACACCAACGGTCACTGGGACTATTTTATTCTTTTAAAAACACATTTCTAAAAAGGCAAAGAAATTGTGTGGAGGGGATTTCCATCCCTGCGCTTTGCCCCCCCCCCCCCCAACCGCCCCCCCCCCCGCCCCAAGGCTTTCTCCTCAGAGGTACCTGAGCTCTGTCTCTTTTGGTTGCTCCTCCCCAAGTTTAAGTAACATATTTACACCAGTATTTATGGACTGACCACCTTTGGACATTACCTGTAAGCATTTTTTTTTACGTTCCGTTTTTATCATTCATTTTTTCTTTTTAAGATTTTTTATTTATTTATCTTTAGAGGGGAAAGGAAGGAGAGAGGGAGAGAAACATCAGTGTATGGTTGCCTTTCATGCCTCCCCTGCTGGGAACTGGCCTGCAGGAAACCGGCCTGCAACCCCTGTATGTGCCCTGACTGGGAATCGAACCGCGATTGTCTGGTTCGTAGGCCCATTTTTTCTCAAACAGCTTTACTAGCATATAATTCGCACACCACCGAACTCACCCGTGGCTTTCACTGTCCTCGCTCCATTCACAGAACTGCCAAGCCCTCTTAGAGCACTGGCACCACTTCAGAAAGAAGCCCCCCACCTGTGAGCAGGCAGCCCTGCGGCCCACCGCGCTCCAGCCCCAGGCAAGTGCTCATCTCCTTTCTGCCCCTGTGGGCAGAGCCCTTCTGCTCGGTTCATGCAGATGGAGCCCCACCCACTCGGTCCTTCACGACGCCTGTCCTGTCCCCATCCACCTTTGCCAGGGACTCCGGGCTCTGCTGTGACCACCTCTCTGCAGGGCAACTCACACAGCATCATGCAAATGCTGTGATATTGTGTGTGTGTGTTTAAGAAAAAGAACAAGGGAAGGAAGTGTGAGATCAAAGAAAAAAGCGGATTATTCAAAATAGCTGGTTCAAGCTTTCAGCAAGTCTAAAGAAAAAAACACCAGGTATAGGTATTTATGAGGATGTTCATTCCAGCACTTTTTAGTAGCAAAGAATTAAAACAACAGCAACAACAGAAGACAGTGCCCCACATGGGAGACAAGTGCACGGTGACACAGACACACAATGGACTCAATGTGACATCGCGGAGCCATGAAGGGTGACGGAAGAGACCCCCCTGCAGACCAGGGGACGATGTCTGAGAGATGGTGTAGTAGAAGAAGATCAGGTCACACAGTAACAGGCATTTTGGATCATTTTAATCAAAGCTGTGTGTTTGTCTCTCTCTCTCCCTATCTCTCTGTATTTCATCTCTCTCTGTATATTCTAAGAGACAAAATCCTGGAAGGAAAGACACCCGGCAGGTTTTATTTCTGGGTAGTGTGATGACAGATGGTTTTTATTAATTTCTTTTCTCATTTGCATTTTCTAAATGCTCTATATTTTATTTTTGTCATTAGGAAACATTTAAAGAAAATGCTTCTCCATCAGAGGCTGAAACCTTAGGGCTTTTCAGGGCAGGGTCGGGGACCGGGACAGGGATGGGACGAGAGGGCAGAGGGTCCTGCGTTACGTCCTTCCCCCGGGCTGCTGTGCGCCCTTGGCCGCCTCTACAGCAGGCTCTTCTCTACTGTGAAACTCCAGAACAGACTGTCCCCCTGTCCCTGAGCACAGGGACCTGTCAAAGACCATCTGTGTTCAGACAACCATAACTTACCTGCTGACTGGGTCACACAAGAGATCTTGTAGGACAGCCACACGCTCGCCAGGCAGAGGAAGGTGGCCACGAAACCAAAGATCTGCACGGGGGAAAGAGGAGAGGGAGTTCCTTGGGCAGTCTGCTTCTTGTCTGTGCCTGCTCCCCGCCCTGGCTGTGGCCAGCAGAGCGCTAGCTTGTGGGATCGCCTGACCCAAACTCTTCGCTGTCAGGTACAGATAGGAGGCCCTGGCCCCAGGTCGTCTGGCTGGGACTCTGGTCAGGCCTGGCAGCCAGGCCTCCAGGTCTCCACCCCTCGGCTCTTCTAGGTCTGGACAACTTCAGTGTGCATGTTCAAGTTCATGTTTCAACTGAGCTAGAGCCAAGCCACTGTACTTTACTTATCCTGGGCTAATGAAAAAGAAGGTGGAATTGTACATTTGAATCTGAGTTTAAAATTTTTAATGTTCAATTGGACTGAATCAGTGGGGTAGCAATGTTTACATTTCATGCATTATGGTTTTTGTCTAGCTTTATATCTGTGTCAGAGCCAAGTGTGGAGGCCTTGCCATCTAGCCTTGCATTTGCACATAAATAGTATGAGACTAAAACAAGTTCAGGTAGCTCCCCTTTCCTTTCTGGGGGGTCCACCCAGGGCTCAAGTGTGGGGACCTTGCCCCGTCCAACCTCCTCGTTTGTGGGTGGGGAACAGGGCGTCCTGAGAGGCAGAGGTCCTTGCTCTGGTGTCCTGTCTGGAACTTCAAAGTCTGGAGTCATTTTCCTGACTAGTGAACAAATCTGGCAGCTGTAGCTAAAATTTATTGAGCACTTACTATGTACCCACAGTCTTCTAGGCCCTTGGTGTGTTAATTCCTTTAATGCTCACAGCTCTGCCAGGTGGATCCTGGCATTACCCTCCCAGTCCCTCATATTACAACTGAAGAAACGGAGGGACAGGATTCTGCCCACGGCCACAGACACAGCAAGGCGAGCCCTGGGAGGAGGCCAGCCCTGGGAGGAGCCCAGGGCGTGTGGCTCTGGAGCGCATACTCTGCTCTACTTGTTGCCCAGGCGTTCTGAGCCTTGCAAAAAAGCCTCAGAGTCACTGTGTTTCCCCTAAGTGCCCAGATGAAACCACTTGTGACATCCAGGAGGAAGGGCCCAGGGTGAAGGGCAGGATTTTCAAGGTTCTGTTTTCTTTGCAAGCCTGACTGCTGGTTTGCAATAAGTGGCTGCCTCCACAGGCCCACGCCTACCTCCCCTTCCTGAGGTCCGTTTGCTTGGCTCCTTTTGTACTGATTGTCTGCACTGCATAATTAGCCTATTATAGCCTGTTCGGGCCTCTCATTGTCTGTTCTGCACAATTAGCACATTATATACCATCCCAGTCTCCAACTGTCTGCACTGCATAATTGAACAGTTTATTACATCGCTACAGAGTGCTATTCTGGACGACAATGCCGTTTGCTAATTGTTTCACGTGCCTAGCCTTGACTCCTGAGCTGGATCACCACTTTTTCATAAGCAAAGGACCCCATCGTGTTATTTCTCTGGCTCCCCCAGGGACCCCGATGGTGTACGGTAAACGTGGTTTTTGGGATTCCAGGGCCAACACCATTATGTGCAGCTGGAATCATAGAACCCAGTGGGAACCTCCTGACGTGGCCTTGAAACAGTGGGCACACGTCTTCCTTTTCGTACCCCCCACCCCCACCAGCCGCCTGCAGCCGGGCAGGTGGTAACCTGTGGCTGGTAACCACCTCTCTCCTTGGAAACTGGACGAAGCTGGGATTTGCACGGGTGCAAGGTGGTGGATGGATGGGTGGGCTGTGGGAGGCACTTAAAGCACAGTTAGAGGAGTGACCTCTGCCCCACGCCGACTGGTGGAGGGCAGACTGTACCCCTCGGTGGAATTCTGGGCACAGCCCCACTCTGAGCCAAAGGGCTGGAGAACCGGGAAATGAAAGAGTGACCGGCACACAGACAGCTTTTCTTAAACACATTGAAATACCTTGCCTGCTTCTTAATGAGGCAAATCTGAACTGTCCCTGAAGCCACCAACCTGTAAACAATTTGCTAAATTGGCAATAGGATGTCAGGCATCTACAAACCTTTTAAAAACAATGATGTACACATATGTATACATGTGTTTGCATATGTGTGATAAATAAAAAGCTCCCACAGCACCGTAGTTTTGCATACTTCTATGCTTCTTCTACTTAGGCTATTGGATGCATCAATTTCCCCCTTTGAAAGGTATAGGAGGGTTACTTCCTGGCCTGACTACCACTAAAAATGAGGTTCAGCAAAGCTAGAGCTAATGGCTGGTATCACTGACTAATCCCAGTACTGTTCCCCTGAGCCCAAACAAGGCTCCAAAATCTTTCTTTGTATGAGGCCAAGACAGCCATGAACAGATGGCCACGATGGGCATATGATTTAACACCCACTCGCCATCTGACTTAAGTAGTGGCTGCAAGAGAAAGGCCTGGGCTGCTGGGGCCCTTTTTTTTGTTTTTCAACAGCCCTGATGAGTCACCTCCTGAGACCCTCCACTGGGAACCCAAGTTTAAGGCTCTTTGGAGACTGAGCTGGCGAGATCAAGGTGGGTACCGATTCTGCAAAAGAAAGGCCCCAGAAAACAATCCCTTGGCGGTCCCCGTCAGGAAGGAAATGAGCGTTCAAAACAGGAATTCATTGCCGAAGGCTCCCCGAGAAGGTCCTCACCGCTGCGGCTACCAGCTCGCTCTGGTTGTAACTCTTGGAGGCTGCCACGATGGACGCGATGAGGAGGAGCAGGGTACCGATTAAATAGTGCAGAAGTTCCTGGGGGGGAAACAAAGCAAAGCAGTGGGTTGGGAGGTCTGTTCCTGGTTCTGAGGGGCAACCGGTCATCAGAAGTGAGGAAGAGAAGTGGCGGGAGTGTAACACCCCAACAGGAGCAGCGCGGCTCACACGCAATGAATGTGTAAGGCTGGCCAAGATGAGGCCAAGGCCAAGCAAGAGAGAAAAGATGCCAGGCAGGGAGGAAGGGGACAAAAAGACTCGTGTGAGTAGAGATATCCACAAAGGGTTGCTGCCTTCCTGAGATCGGTTTGTAGACATTGCCTTGATCTCTGGCCAAAGCTGCCCAAAGCAAACAAGCTTCTCCCAACTCCTGGCTGGAAAATGTAAACAAAGCTCTAGCCCTCACAGCAAAGTTCCCTGAAGAGATGGGTGCTTTTCACTTCTGTTCCACAGAATGTTTCACACTTGGCTATGTGGTGGGAGCTGGCTTTCTCTCTGGAAAAGACTCTCAGGCCAAGCTCTGCTGCTGAGTCTACTGGCAGGATGGACTCTACCTTTGCTCCTCCCCTTGGTCCACAGGGCCATCCGTGTCCACTCCATGCACTCCCCAGAATTAGGATGTCATTCAGCAACATGGAAATACTTGCACCTCATCCTTCTTCCTCTCCAGGAACTACCAGGTCAGAGCACAATAGGGCTTAGGGCCATTCATAGTATTCACTCTGAATCCAGAGTGTATCCATTTTCAGTCTTCAATGAGAGTGCAGAAATTACTCCTTCATGAAGTTCTGCCCATCAGGGCAGGTGGCTATTAAACATGGGACAGCATCTGGCTTTCAAGCTGCAGTGTCAGAGCTGTGCAAAGTGCAAAGCTGTGCAGAGCTGTGCAAAGTGTCAGAGCTGTGCAAAGTGTCAGAGCTGTGCAAAGACCCCGATTTCTCCCTTGGCCACTAGACAAGGACATCACAAGGCAGATCACAGGAGCTGTGACGAAGAGCAGATTGGTAACGGGAAGTTCCCTACCTCCAAGGTCCCCACATACAAAGACAGAGGGCTGTGACACGGGATGGGGATGACGAGTTGAGAGAGTCCTAAATGGAGGGCGCTTACATTGCGTTCAGCTGAATTTATCCTTCCAACTTTTACTCCCCCTCCAGCCCACCGTCCTTCTCGCCTCCTGGCTCTTATTCTCTCCTCCTGGCTCTTATTCTCTCCTCCACTTGTTCATTATCAGCATCTGGAAGCCCAGAGGAGCTTGTTCTCAAAAGAAGCAAAAAGTTGTCAAAACTATGAAAGGAGCCTTACAACTTAGGAACCCAAAAGAAATTTCTTTTAAAATAATATAGTGGGTAATGGCAGTAAGTGTGAGTGATTGAATGATTTAGTCACAAAGCAGAGGTTGTCAGACTAGATTTTTAAAAGAGATCCAACTATTTGTTTTCTGTAGGACACATACACTATATTGAAACATATAAATAGATTGAAAGGATAAGGATAAAAAAGATATGTCACTCAAATAGCATAGTTCTGAAAACAAAAAAATATTATCAGAGGGGAAAAAAAAAAGACATTTTATAATGATGGAAATTCCCATACACCAGGAAACTATAACAACTGGACGCAACAGACATCTATTAAACATTCTATCCACCAAAAGGGGAATATACATTCTTCTTAATGCACATAAAACATTCTCCAGCATAGGGTCTGCCAAACTATACACCAAACCTCAGTAAATGCAGAAGGATTGAAATAATGTGAAGTGTGCTCTCCAACTACAATAAAATAAAATTACAAATCAATAGCAGATAGAAATTTGTGAAACAAATTGTAGAAATTAAGCAACACATTCCTAACTAATTAGTGGGTCAAAGAAGAAATCACAAGGGAAATTGGAAAAAAACTTGGAGATGAATGAAAATGTACACAGGACATACCAAAATTATGGGAAGCAACTAAAGCAGTGCTTAGAGATTTATAGCTGCAAATGCACATATTACAAAAGAAAAAAGGTTTCTTTCTTTTTAAAGAGAGGGAGAGAAACATGGATGTGTGAGAGATACGTGGATCTGTTGTCCCTCACACGCCCACAACTGGGGGGAACCAGCCCACAACCCAGGCGTGTGCCCTGACTGGGAAACGAACTGGCAACCTTTTGGTCTGCAGGTTGAAACTCAATTCGCTGAGCCACACCAGGCAGGGCTGAAAGGTTTCAAATGAATAATCTATCCTTCAACTTAAGACACTGAAAGAAGAGCAAACTAATCCTAAAGCAGGTAGGAAGAAGGATGTAAAGACTGGAGCTGCAATGAATGAGACAGAGAACAGAAAAACAATAGAGAAAGTCAATGAAACCAACAGCTGGTCTCTTTGAAAAGATCAAGAGAAGGCAAACCTTTTGTTAGACTGGTCAAGAAAAAATTAAAAACAAATAAAAGAGAGAAAAGTTTCAGCTAACCAACACTGGAAATGAAAGAGGGGACATCACTGGTTATCTTACAGAAATAAAAAGAATTTTAAAGGAATACGATCAACAACCGCCTGCCAAAATTAGACAACTTGAGTGAGATGAACACAGTCGGGAAAGTGACAACTGAAAATGACTCGAGCAGAAACAAACAGTCTGAATAACTCTACAGGGTCCTGCAGAAGTAAGGCCTGCCCGAGTGTGGTTGGTAGGGTAATAAAGTGGGTGTAATAATTTATAGTTTTAATTTGAACATTTCACCTAAAATGGCATACGGTGTGCTTGAGTGTGACATTGTTATGTTACAGAATGGCATGCTTATGATTTTGTAATAAAAAAGGGACGTTATTTGTGCCTGACCATGTAGAATTTGAGTTAGTAATGAAAAAAATCATCCACAAGAAGAGCCCAGGTCCACATGGCTGACTGACTCTTCACAAACTCCTCCAAAAATAAGAAGATGAGGAACTACTTCCCAAATTATTCTGAGGCTAGTATTACCCTGGTAACAAAATGAAACACAAATGTCCCAAGAGAACAATATCTCTTATGAATGCAAACATGAAAATCCTGAGCAAAATACTATCAAACCAAATCCAGCTGACAGAGTTGTCACACTTCTTAATTTCAAAATTCACTACAAGTTTTACAGGAATCTGTAAAATAATCTATCAGCTGAATTTTACACTATGACCAAACAGAATTTATCTCAGGAGTGCATGCTTGGTTCCACATGTTAAAATCAATAGAATATAACACATTAATAGACTATCAATGGGGGGAAAACCCATATGATCACCTCAGTAGACAAAGAAAAAGCATTTGACAAAATGTAATAGCCTTTTATGATAAAAACTCTTAACAAAGTAGGACTGGAAGGTGATTTCTTCGTTCTGGTAAACAGCATCTACAAAAACCACAGCTAACATCATACTTCACAATGAAAGATAGACTGCTTTCCTTCTAAAATCAGAAAAGATGATAATGATGTCTATTCTTGCCACTTTGATTTAATGTTCAACTAATTTCTTGCACTAAAGCAAGAAAAATAACAGAAAAGGCATCCGGATTGGAAGGTAATGTAGAACTATCTCTATTCACAGGTGGTACAATCTTGCATATGGAAAATATGCTATATTCTCAAGGAATCCACTGACCATGAATTAGCTTAATAAATGAGTTCAGCAAAGTTGAGGACATCAGATCAACATAGAAAAAGTAATTGTATTTCTATCCATTTGCCATAAACAATCCAAAAAAGAAATTAAGAAAATAGACCTGGCTGGTGTAGCTCAGTGGATTGAGCACGGGCTGGGAACCAAAGGGTCACCAGTTCGATTCCCAGTCAGGGCACATGCCTGGGTTGCAGGCCAGATCCCCGGTAGGGAGCACGTGAGAGGCAACCACACAATGATGTTTCTCTCCTCTTTCTCCTTACCTTCTCTCTAAAAATAAATAAATCTTTAAAAAAAAATTAAGAAAATAATTAGGTTGGAAATTGTATCAAAAACTAAGGTGCTTATACTCTGAAAACTAAAACATTGTTAGAGGAAATATTAAAAGATCTAAATAAATTGAAAACCTCCCATTACAAGATTCATTATTGTGAAGGTAGCAATCCTCTCCAAATTGATTCACTGTAATTCCTATTAGAACCTCAGCTGACTTCTTTGTAGAAACTGAAAAGCTGATTCTAAAATTCATATAAAGTTGCCAAAATCCAACACAATCCTGATAAAGGAGAACAAACAGAGTCACACATCTTAATTTCAAAATTTACTACAAGTTTTACAGGAATCTAGACAGTGTAGTAAGATCAGTGCAATGGAATTGAGTCCAGAAATAAATCCACGTGTTTATGGCCGAGCAATTTTCAACCAGGGTGCCAACACAATTCAGTGGGGGAAGGAAAGTCTTCCCAACAGATTGGGATGGGACAACTAGATATTCAGATGCCAAAAATGAATCTGAATCCTTACCTGCCACTATATGCAAAACTTAACTCAAAACAGATCAAACGTCTAAATGTAAGAGCTGAAACCATGAAACTTGAGAATAAAACTTAGAGGTAAAACTTCAGAGTCTTAAATTTGGCAGTGGCTTTTGGATATACCCAAAACACAGGCAACAAAAGAAAAATACATAGAATGGATTTAATCCAAATTTAAAGCTTGTGCTTTAACAAACACTATCAAGAAACTGAAAAACAACCAGCAGAATGGGTGAAAATAATTGGCAAATCATAATTCTGACAAGGGACTCTTAACTAGACTCTACCAAAAACTCTTACTACTTAATAATAAAAAGACGACCTAATCAAAGAATGGGCAAAGGCTCTGACAGACATTTCTCCAAAGAAAATACACAAATGGACAAAAAAAAAAAAAAAACCACACATGAAAGAGGATTGACCTTATTAATCACCAGAGAACAACACAAATCACAACCACAAGATACCACTTCACACTCACCAGAATGACTATAATCTGAAAGTTGGAAAATAAAAAGTGCTGACAAGGATGTGGAAAAATGGGACCTGAGCACACTGCTTACGGAATGTGACCCAATGCACCGCTTTGTCAAACAGTCTGGCAGGTCCTCAAATGATCGAACACAGTCACCACGTGACCCAGCAATTCCACGCTCAGGCGGAGTCCCAAGCAAAATGGCACCATGTCTATATGAAAAACGTACACATGGGTGTTCACAGCCACACTATTCATAAGGCGGAAGCAACCCAAATGTCCATAAATGGTGAATAAATGCACAAAACGTGGGACAAATGTAGTGGAATATTACTTGGCCGTGAAAAGGACCAAAGTGCTGACACAAGCGACAACAAAGATAAACCACGAAAAACTCTGCTAAGTGCAAGAAGACAGTCGCAGAAGACCATACATGTGACTGCATTTACACGGAATGTCCTGAATGGAAAAACTCAGAGACGGAGCGTAGATCGGTGGTTGGTCAGGGCTGGAGGGGATGAAGGGTAGAAGGCCACAGCGAAAGCGTGTGAATCTCGCTCTGAGATGATGAAATGTTCTAAAATTGACTGCGGCAACGGATGCACAGCTCTGGACACATGCTAAAATCCAGTGCGTTATACACTCTCAGTGGGTAATTGTAGGGCATGCCAATGATCTATCCATAAAACTATTTTTACAAAGTAATAAAGTGGGAAGAAAAAACCCTGGCAACTTTGAAATCTCTCCTCGGGCTCTGCCAGTCCATTTTAGCTGACACATCTTATCATTCAGCACTCACGGCGGTAAAAACACCCAGCACCTTCACTGCCTTCTTCCTTCCATGTTCCTCCTCCCAACACACACACACAGCCCACTATCTGTCACTGGAGAAAACAAACATGGGGTGAGAGGCAGAGCCCTACCGTAGCTGGAAGGTGAGTTTTAGAAAGCAGTGGGACACCAGGCAGAGCAGTGCACCAAACAGTGGGAAATCCAGGGCTGGAGCAGGGAAGGACGGTGCAAGAGGAGGGCTGGGCAGACCGGAAGGATGCCACGGGGTCTCAGTGCCCCGGTGAACATCCCGACTTGTGTGTGGAGAACAGGGCAGGGCCACTCCCTTACCGACAGGGGCCAGCTGATACAGGTGAGCACGCGGTAGAGGCGGAAGAGGTGGACCAGGTAAAAGGCGAGAATCATGATCAAGTTGCAAATGGTGACCACTTCGAAGTATCTGAAGGCACTGTAGCTGGTCCACGGGGAGCTGCTCACGCAGATGAAGGCAATCAGCAGCGTGACCTGAGAGACACAGACCAGACCCGTCAGAGAAAGGCACCTCCAGGGAGCAAAGGGCCACAAAACCACAGGAGCACAAACAACAATGGAAAACGGAGGAATTGCCACACCGTTCAGGTTATTTCCTCACAAATTGGCTGGAAGTGTCAATTTTCTGTACTCCAGAGGCTTTTAAAAATAGATGCTGGCTGAGGGTGTTCAGAACGGCCACGAGTGGCTTTGTCCAGGAAGCAGACGAGCAGAACCCTTCTATTTGCTGGACTTGGCGGAGCACAGACGCGGTCCTGGGATGCTGCACCTTGGGTCTGCATACTCGGTGGGACGGCAGGAAGCTGCCGATATTTGACTGTTTTGGACCCACAAAGGTGGCAGCTCATACATTATACCCTAGCCGTTGGCAGACAATGTTACCATTTACTGACACCTGATGTACATGACCTCACAGAGGCCTCACAGAACTCTGCTGGGTAGAGGAAATCACCCCCCTGTTCCTACGGGGATACTGAGGCACACAGGTTCAATAATTAGCCCAAGGCTACCCAGCTTGTACACAGCAGAGGTGGGATTTGAACCTACGTCTGTCTGGCTCCAGGGACCATGCTCCTTTGTGTCTGATGCAGTTTTGCCTTCTTACAATGGGAGCCCTCGTCCCAAACAAGCGGAGGAAGGTGGATGTGGTACCAAATGTGGAGGAATCCTGGTTACGAGGTGGTACTCGGTCACTGCCGGGCCTGTGGTAAGGACTCACTAAGTCTCTTGTTGCATGAAGAAGTGAATGAGTGAATGAATGAGAAGAATAAATCAATTAATAACCCACTATTGAATTAACAGGGCAGGGAAGTGATGAGCAACACATGAACACCAGGGGAAGGCAGAGTGGAGGAGGGTGGAGAAGATTTGGTGAAGGGCACTCAAAGAGACCAATTCCGGTTCACTCAGAGGTGTTAAAGGTATGTAAAAATCTTAGGACCTATTTTAAAAGCACAACTAATCTAGGACAAAAATTAATTTTTGTTTTAATATTTTACTTTTGATCATGCTATTACAGTCGTCCTGAGTTTTTCCTGCTTTGCTCCTTCCACCCAGCACCCGCCACTCCCTCAGGCAACCCCCCCACTGTGGTTCATGTCCTTGGGTCATGTGTATAAGTTCTTAGGACAAATATTATTTTATGCTGCCTCTTTCCTATAGAACGGTGATTCCCAAAGTGTGTGTGTGCATGCGATTTTGTGTCCTTTGGCAGCGTCTGGAGACACGTTTGGGGGTCACACTGTGGTGGGGGAGTGCTGTTGGTACACACAGTTGGAGAGGCCATGAGAGCTATGAAACGCCCCGCCAAGGATGGTCCCTGCAGAGAGCAGTCTGGTGTCCGGTGCAGCCCGAACTGTTGTGCTGCTGTGCAGAGGCCTTCTGCAGAAAATGAGCCCGTCGCCGGAGGGAAATCACAAACCGGCCCCGACGCCGGCCAAAGACGTCAATGCCAAAAAAGGTTCTGTTTCCCGAAGCCCCTCGTTTCCAGCATTCTACCAAGCTCCTTAGTAATAAGTCGACAGCTAGAAATTAATTTTCTCTCGGCTTGAAGCTTCAAGCGGATACGAAGAAGGCTCTGCTTCACAGACCAGGGCAGCAGAGTGTGGCTCTGACAAGAAGGGACCCTCGACATCATTGTATTTCCCTTTGCTAATGAGCAACATATTTTCATTTTCTCGGTTCCTCTCCAGCCAGTCAGCCACGGTGATAGAATGACTCATGCCTGGAGGTCATTTTAAAGCCAAGGGGAGGCTTTGCCTCCTTCTGGAGTGTGGTGCTGGCCGTGGGCCCCTGCTCCCTCCCAGGCCTCGTCTGTCTGGGGAGCCTCTGGGTCTGTCAGTCCTGCAGACCCCTCTCCCATGGGGGCACTTTTATTCAAGCCTTACCATGCACATAATCCAGGATCATGGGGTGGGATCCCTGGGTGAAGAAGCAACGCTGCACCTAATTTCATGCAAAGATTAGGGTAATTTTTACAGCCCTTCATCTGTGACAGAGCAGCTCTTACTCCTGGTGACACAGAGAGGGGGGAGTTTCCCAGTGCCCCAGAGGGGCCCGGGGAGGCCTCCCCCTCTGAGCTCCCAGGCTGAGTGCTATGCGGCAGCAGGCACATTACTGCTCCACCGAGAGCCATCTCAGACCCCTCTGGGAAACTTGTTTGCAACACCAGACTTCTCGCATTCCCTCCATTTGGCCTGAGTCCACCTACCGTGTGCTCTTGTTTAGGAAAAGTCCAATTTTGGAAAATCCCATTTAGACAGCAGAGGGCGTGTACTTATGCATGCTTCTGAAAGCTTCCCTTTCCTCAAGGATTCCGAGGATTCTTGCATCCCTCATTTAGATAGCCAGCATCTTAACTAGTACACTTGGAGGGGAAAAAAAACCCACTATGAACAGAGTTGATCATCACCCAACTTTTCAGAAACTCTTCTAAGGCCAGTAGGTAACCTCTGCAAACACAGGCGACTCCTGAATCATTGAGGTCCGTGCTCAGAGGCCTCCAGGAAGTTGAAGCAGAAGGAACAGATGACAGAGAAAAAGGCGCCAGGGTTTTGGCTCCCCACCCCCACCTGGCCCTCTCAGGCCCTCTGGTTGCCTGTTAGAGAAGCAGATCCACAAACATCCAGACTTCAGAGATGACCCAGTGGGAGTTCCGAACTCAGGACTGAGTGGGGGGTGCTGGGACGATAGAGGTGGTTCTGTTTAGAGTAACTGAAGTGTGACTCCCTCCAAAGGAGTGACTTGGTTCTCAGGGTATGTGTGAGCTCCTCTCCCCAAGGTTGGTTCTTTTATACGGAGCTGCCATGAGTGTTGAAAATAAAAGGTGGAACATGCATGTCCGCTCAAAGTCATGTTGCAAGAACCCTCAGCTCAAAGCTGGTCTCATAGATCAGCCCAAGGGACTGTTTAAAGTCACTAGAATCACCTCAAGTTAGAAACCAGCTCCCCTGGCTCCAAACGGTGTCCCTTGTGGCTCCACAGTGTCAGAATTCTTACCAGAAAGAAGAGGCGGCTTCTGTGAGAGTAGCGGAGGGTTTCCGCTTCACAGGAGGTGAAGCAAGCTGATGTGACCTGCGAGAGGCAGCTGTCCCCTGAGAACTTTGGAACTAAAACACGCTGGTCCTAATGCCAAAACCAGACACGAGACAGCTTGGCCTGGCTCTCAGCCGGGTGATAACTCTTGTTAGGGCCCAAGATGGTATGCCCCCAAACGCCCCACGATGCCATATTGGTTATGTTCATTGAAGGTTGCTTGATAAGCAGCTGGTGCCAGAAGGCCACCTTGACCCTCCCTTGTCTCCTTGCTTGCAGGAAATCAGTCTCCCAAGGTGTCCCTGCTGCTCCCAAAGGCCCGAGAGAGACACGCTTACACTGAAGTCAGAGATCCTGAGTCCAAGAGTTTACAGGGACACTTCAGTACAAAAAGGCGGCTAGTTCGATCACTGGGCCTCATTTTCTGAGCCAAGCATTGCATTGTGATTCTCCCCTGCACACGTCTTAAATTTTTTCCTCCTGGTAATCTAATCTTGGGTCCATTTTATTGTTTCATTATTCATCAAGCCGTAAGCACCAAATAAGGGTAAAGGGGGGCGGGGGATTCTCCCTCTCCCCGACATCCTGAGGGAGAAGTGGAATTGTGACGTCTAAGATGGACAATCACTGGAGAAGACTCAGGAGGCCGTATTCAGGGGATGCCTTCCTCTGGGCTGGACCACAGAGGCCTGCGGAGGGGCAGGGGCCCTGCCACACGCTGCCTGCAGCTGGCCTGGTCCTCCACGCTCCTGCCAAGTCCGGTCCATTGAGAGTGCCTGTGTCTGGCTGAAGGTGGCAGCAGACACCTTTAGTTTTAAGAACCCTGGGCTGGATGGATGCTAACTCCACCCTCTCTCAAGGGTTTTTATTCTGACCTTGGAATAAGGCGTCTGTGAGAGAGATAGGCAGGAGGGCAGGAAACTGATGACAACATCAAAAAGTTTCAGGCCCAACTCTAAGAGGCTTTTCTGGAAAAGCGCAGGAGAGGAAAGCCAGGCTTCTTCAAAAAGTCAGAGATGTGAATCAAGACTTAGCGGTTGGAAACTGCAGAGAGAGACAAGAAGGCCCATAAATGGCCCTGCCTGACAGTGGGCCAGGAGAGGAATTTGCAGTGTTCTAAGCGTTGGCTGAATTCTGCCCTGGGGTGAAGGCAAATTTACTCTGCCCCCCTGTCAAAGTCCCCACAAGTCACCACCAGGAAATGGCCCTGGTGCAACCTCTTGAACACCCACGGGGAGAGAGAACCCTCACCCTGGCTTCCTTCCTCTGCCCACCCCCCTCCCCCACAACATCAGACTTCTGCTACATGCTTCCTTCCACCTCCTTACCCCAGCACACAGTTTTGTTCTGCATTCAAACATAAAAATGCCAAAGGAAAGACACGGGAGGGGGAATCATCTAGAAAACACTGGTCAGGGGGCCTCGGGTCCAGGCCTGGAGCAGCCAGGTAATGAACGCTCCGGTTTCTGAATCAAACCACGCAGCACACTTGCCTGCAGTATTCCAGACACCAGCGCCCAGGCTTGTCTGCACTGGGAATAGTGCTGGAAGGCCAAGTAAGAAGCTGTGAACAGCGGTTGCTTCTGGGAGGACACAGAATTACTTAGTGGTTTAAAAAAATCGCATCGAGATCACATAGTAAGTTGTAAAATAATTTTTATGACGTATCTCAGAGATCTTCAATGGCATGGCTACAGATCTACCCTTTCCCTTGTCATTGGCTGCGGCTTTCTGTGACATGGTGTTTCTCGGCCTTAGCACTGCTGCCGGGCGGGGCTGTCGTGGGGGGGCTGTCCTGGAGGGTGTTCAGCAGCCGGGAGCGACCACCAAAAGTGTCTCCAGACTTTGTCAAAGGTCCTCTGGGGGCAGGACTGCCTCTGGTGGAGACCACTGCTTTCAACGGTCTCTTATCAATGGGCGTTTATCACATGTCTAGTTTC